AGCACCCAAAAGGACGCGGCTCTCAATCAAGCCCAGTAGGCGACTGCGAGGATGACGGACCGCGCACCACTTTATCCAAGTCTTGTAAGTGCGGGATTCAAGGACATTGATGTGCCCAGGCTTAGCGAACTTGTACCTGAGCAGCTCGACGAACTCCAGGCAGTCCGCCAACTCACTCACCCATTCAGGGTCGTCGTGGAAGGGCCGAGGCTGGAAGCTCACAGACTCAAGGTCGAAGGAACCGAAGCTCGGGGAACTAAACCCTAAGGTGCGAAGGGTGTGTGAGAAGGCAGAAACCGGGATCGGGGCTACTAAACCCAAAGCAGCCAGTGCACTGCCCGAAGAAGCACGGTGAGCCAAGGCGCAGGGCAAAGTCGCGCAGTAGGTAGCAACAGACTCGCCGGGCAATGGCGCACGCCCAAACATTGCAGCTGCGGAGGGTGAACACCGAGAGGCAAAATCTGCAGCGGAGGCCCGCGAGAAGGAGCCTGAGATCGGGAAGTGCACCGTCTCGGAAGGACAACGACAGCACCCAGGCGAAGCGCCAAGCCTCAAAAGCCACGGCTTGTTGTGAAGAAAGGCGAGTGGGCGCTTGAAGGGAGCGCCGTAGTCACAGCAGCAAAAGTGTGTTAGAACAGCGCCGCATGCAACAAACGCACGGAAGCAGTGAAGCCTGAACATCAAGCTGGCAGCGGGCTGAGAGACACTCACGAAGGCGCCGGAGGTAGCAGCCAGACACAGCAGAAAACCGAGGCGCCGAGCCAAACGGTCATGGAGTCTGCACTGACACGCAGAGTTGCCTGAGGGCCCCAGGAAAGCTGAAGCACAAGGAGCATCAGGAGAGCGGCAGCGGTGCCGGCCCCGCGGAAGGAAGGACAAAGCCGGAGCCGTAACATGAAGATCAAAGACAGCCCCACAGGTGAGGACTTCCCGAAGCTGATTGAACACGGCATCCGAGGCGAGATCTGAAAAGCACGGAGCTGAAGCAAAACCCCAACCCTCTAAACTAACAGGTTTCAACCCCGCAGCCAAATGAGCAGAAGCCCAACTCTGGTCAGAACCGAAAAGGTGCAGAAAGCCACGGGCCTTAGGCGAAGGAGCTCGAAGAGGCAAAGGTTCAGTCCCAAACGTGAGCCCCGAGACCTGTGCCTCGCCCACGTTCGAAGCGAAGTAAGATCCCGGGTCGTCGTCCAAGCCCGCCGCGGCCAGTGTAGCACCAGCAGGCTCCAAAAGCTTGGTGTAGAAGCCCTTTTGTTCCGAAAAGCGCCAAAGCTCCTTCACAGTTGCAGGTGGCAGCTTGGCAGCACACAAGCCAGCCCCAGTGGGTGAGGCGTCCATGCAAAACAGAAGGCCCGGGTAATCCACGCGGAGGTCCGCCTGCAGAAGAGGGGCCAAAGCAGCTAAGCAAAACAGCTCGTTGATCGAAGAGCGTTGCAACTGGTAAACAGCATCCCGGGGAGCCCGGCGGGCATCCTCAAAGACACTAGTCAGAACCGCGAGCACAGGCCGCCGGAACATCAGAACATGTATCCAAAGCCCAAGTACTGAAGACAGCAAGTCAGAAGAGCAGCAGCCTTTACGAGCGATGGTGCAGGTAATGCGCATCAGCACCCCAACCCGGTGCCGAGGCGCGCTGATGATACCGGTGATCCCATCAGCTTCAGCTCCCAAGACAATTCCAGCAGTAACATTCCGCTGTCGTTTCCGAGGGTGTTGCACCAAGCCCACCGAAGGATAAGCCCGCTCAGAACCAGTAAAGACCTCGGTGTCTCTGAGATGAGCGGAATCCCGAAGTTCACGCCGGGTGCAAACCTGTGAAGTCAGGTGATCGTCTATTGCAAGCAGTTCGGTACACGCAGTCCGAGGGAATGGTCTGCGGTATGCCGCGTATTCGTGCGGTCTCATGCTGAGCCCGATCGTGTTGAGTACATTGAAGTGACTCTGTTGTGCGAACTCGACTGAATGTAGATCTCCCATCGCGAGGGTGCTTAAGGCTAAATAGCAAGGACGATTATGGACCTGAGGATCATAGATGCTAAACTGTTCAAGCTCCCACGGGCAGTAAGCGACTCCTAAGGAGTTTCTTTTG